GATTTAAAAGATCTTTGGATGCTTGTATAGAAGTAGAAAAAATAGAGAGGATTTTCTTGGTGAGTATATCAAAAGTTGAGAAATTTTTTGGATTTTGTATGTAATTTTCTCTTTCATTTCATGGGTAAAAGGTGAGTTTTTTTTTGGGTTGTGGGTGGTGGGTTGGTGGGGAGTGGTGGAAGGGGTTTAGTTTGGATGCTTATGGGATGTGTGTAAATTGTATGTTGCTAGCAATTTGTTGGTATCTTTCTGGTTTTGGTGTATTTGCTTGGATTTTTGAGCCAGTTTAGTTCTTGATTTTGAGATTGAAATGTGGTAAAGATTGCAACTTTGGATTGTTTTTTTGATTTGTCATCTGAAACTACTGGTGGGGTTGTGTTTCTTTTCAAGAATCTTTGATTTTGAGATTGAAATGTGGTAAAGATTGCAACTTTGGATTGTTTTTTTGATTTGTCATCTGAAATTACTGGTGGGGTTGTGTTTCTTTTCAAGAATCTTTGATTTTATGAGATTGAAATGTGGTAAAGATTGCAACTTTGGATTGTTTTTTTGATTTGTCATCTGAAATTACTGGTGGGGTTGTGTTTCTTTTCAAGAATCTTTGATTTATGAGATTGAAATGTGGTAAAGATTGCAACTTTGGATTGTTTTTTTGATTTGTCATCTGAAATTACTGGTGGGGTTGTGTTTATCTTGAAGAATCATTGATTTCTGCTGCTAATTTTGCAAGATTTTCTTTTTATTCAGTTTTGATGTCATTTCTTAGTTTAGCTAATTTTGATGAAATGAAGAAAAGATTTCAACTTTGGATTGTTTTTTTGATTTGTCATCTAAATAACTGGTGGGGTTGTGTTTAATTTCAAGAATCTTTGATTTTCTGCTGCTAATTCATAGCTTTGTTTGCAAGATTCTATTTTTATCCAATTTTGATGCCACTTTTTTGTTTAGCTAACTTGTGTTACCAAGTCTCATATGAAGTGTTTTTTCAATGACCTCTTCTATTTTATTTTATTTTTGGTCTTTCTAGCCGTTAAGGCATAATTATCTCAACTAAAGTTTGGTTTTTCTTAGCAGCCTAGTCATAATTTTGCTTGGTTAAAAATATAATTGATCCTATAAGAAAGTATGTAACTAAATTTGGATCCCTTGTTTTTGATAATTTAATTTAATTGTATGCCCAAATTCTGTTCCTAAAATCTTGGTCTGTTTGTTTTCTGGAACCTTTATATTGTGTGTGTTTATGTGGAATAAAATCTCTCTTTCTGCATTTCCATTGTTGTTCTCTCCATGTTTTGCCAGTATGATTCTCTGATCAGAGATGTTTGATAATGGAACAGGGTTCTTTGGCCTACGTAGGTCCCGATTCATGGTTCGATTATGTCCTTATCGGTGTCTGGTGAAGGATTCTGTTGAGGATTAAACATGGAGAATGGTCATGAATTACTCAGCAATGGAAAACCAGCTGATCCTGGTCTCCAAATTATTAGGCACCCCTCTTACCAATCATCTTGTGGTAAATTATTGTTATCCTGGTTAGATATAAGAGTTTTCTATATTAGAGTCAGCAATTTTATGGTAGATGATTCCACCCCGGAATATCTTACTCTCAACCACATTCCTCTAAGTCCCGATACATTGCTTGAAGTTAATGGAACAAGATGTTCCATGTATTCAGAAGGAGCATCTTGTCTCCTTCGAAGGGATAGGGTTGATAAGAAATCCGAAGAAGCTACATTTGTGAGCACGGATAGTATAAGGTTGACAGGAAGTGTGAAATTTGAGGTTTTCAATAAAGATGATCTTGTGCTCTCGGGTTTTTTAGAGATGTCGAATAGTAATGGTTTTGTTGGGGAGTCTAAAAACAGTGGCAAGAGATGGAACATGAATTGTGAATCGGTGATGAATGCTGGCACTGGTTTCCTGAAGGGTAAACAAATTATGGATTCTGAATCATTTTCACCAACAATTGAAGTCTTTATTACTGGTTGCTTCTCCGGGACACCTATCATCTTGACCAAGAGTTTGCAGCTCAATCATCGGAAGAAGCACAACAGGAAGGGTATGTTGCACTCAATCCCGGAGCATGAAACAGATGAGCAGCAGAAAGATGTCTCATCTGAACTTGATCTGCAGGTATAATTGGTAGTTCATCACCTTTTTTTTGAGGTCCATTTGGTATAATATCTAGCATTTTCGAATTCTATAATGCATAGTAAAATGCAAAAACAGCTAATAGGACACATCCGAACAGTCAACATAATTGGATATCCACTGGTATCTTTAAATGTACTGACAAAATCAGTTAACAAACCTCAAAATGCTTGCTATATACTTTTGCATACATTAAGAACCATTAATTTTCGTAAATATTATGAAGATAACCGTTAGTTGCAGTGTTTGGGACAAAAATGATCGCTTTTTGCGTACATTGAGGACCAACAACAACAACATACCCTGTGTAATCCCACAAAGTGGGGTCTAGGGAGGGTAGAGTGTACACAGACTCAACCCCTACCTCAAAGGTAGAGGGGTTGTTTTTGATATACCCTCGGTTCAAGAAGAAAAACAGTTCAAAGCAGTCCAAGAAAAGAAGTAATGCAAGAAACAACAGATAGTAACAATCGCATGTGGCTTTATTCATGCTTCATATCTTTCTTTTTCTTTTTTTTGGATAAAGCTGTTCATGCTTCGTATGATGAAACATGTTTCTGTGTTACATCATACCTAAAGGCCTGTATCTTTTAGAATCTTATCCTAATCAAGTGTCATTGGGTATGGGCTGAGACATACCTTCATATGATTCTTTAATATTAAATTATGTGTCTCCCATGTTGCATTGTTTCAAAGTCTTTAAGATCTTGATTTGTGGGGTCATTATCCTTTTTCTTTATTTGAAGGAATTGGAAATTGCTTTTTACAAAAAAGTTGCACAAAGGAGGTGCTACTATTCAGATTCTTTTTTTAAAAAAAATAACATCTAATTTGAATTGTAGGAAACTAGTAAAGTTTACTAGAATGTCTGAAGTGTTCACATTTTTAAGATCAAACCAAGATGCAATAGAATATAGATTTTTTAGTTTAGCTGTAAGGATAACACGCCGTCTGCAGTTCCACAACACATGTGATAGAATAGTACTCCAGATCTTCCGATTTGTTTGCTTCTGTTTCATTCGTAGCCTGTCTAACTTGTGTGAACCCGAAACAAAATTTCAAAGATAGTGAAAAAAAAATCCCGTGTTAGTAGTACAATATTGAAGTGTCGAGCTGCAAAAGTCCAAGTCCTTAGATTTGTTTTAATTATCCCATGTCTATCTGTTCCTAATAATGTTGTCTGTGCTATGCATAATATCTTGGACATCGATTATCCTATCTGATAAGATTGGAAAAGGAAACAAAAGCCCTCCCCCAATCCTTTAGGATCCTCCTTTTCACGGATCCGAATGAAGTGGTGGTGGTTTGCATTAAATAGAAATATTATCATTTGCTACCTACGAATACTAGCAAACATTTTAAAATGCTATGAAGGATGAGTACTCTATATACTTCCTCCATGAATACTGGCGAAAATTAAACAAATGCTAGAACAGACGACTATTGCTTCCTGATTTTTATGGCATTTGTGATGAATTTTTTCAAAAAAAATAAATTAAGAAATCCGTAGCTTTTCACTTGCTATAACAACCTTGTAAATTTGTTCTTTTCTTTTGTAATGTCTTACGCGTGATAGAGGACTAGTGTAATGTTTCTGTTGACTGTATTGTAGGCCTATTATGCTGCTTTAGTTTTGAAGTTGAAAGATGAAAAAAGGAAAGGATGTTTATGTTTGCCTCACTTTCAGATTTTTAAGTTCCCTTTGTCAATTCTTCGTTCGATTTTCATAGATGGTTGCTGGCTTTTACCATATCTTAATTACTATATATGGGAAAGTGGATCTTTCAATCATAACTAGAACAAGAATTTGCACAGCTTCTGAACTTCATTGTGTGTTCACAGGTTACAGAGTATAGAAAGTATGAACTAGAAAGCGAAGAAGACTACAACATGTATTGGAGACAAACGGAATATATGGATGGTGAAGATGGGGAACTGTCCTGGTTCAATGCTGGGGTCCGTGTTGGTGTAGGGATCGGTCTTGGCATTTGCGTAGGAGTTGGAATAGGAGTTGGCCTGTTAGTCCGCACCTACCAGACTACTACGAGGAACTTCAGAAGGCTTGTGTGATTATGTAGCGTTTGCTGCATTTGTTTTTGCATAGACCAAACGGCTAACAACAGATATATGTTTGTCTTGAGAGTGTGAATTCTGCTCATTAGACAGTTTCAGTGTAGCTAACCATCATACATTTTCGTGTTAACTTACTTCCTGCTAGCTTTTCGTCTTCCCATGCCCCATCCCCGTGTTAAGTTAAGTCTCTTTGTACCTCCTTGTTTTGGATTTAGGTGTGCAAACTCTTACTGTTGTAGATGTTCCATTCTGTTGCTGAGATGTGTCATATGCTGCAAAAATTATATGATCATTTTGTATAGTTTTTGTGTTAAGCTTATTGGACTAGTAGTTCAATGTAATTTTGTTCTTTTTGTAAACTCTTCCATCTGATAAATTGATGGTTTGGTGCAAGTGCCTAGGAAGTAGTCATTATATATTGTTTGATGTTTTACATTTGACAACCAGTTTTATCAAACGCGGAGGTTCGTTGGGGTTTAAACCGTAAAGCGTAGGCTTTCATAAGATAGGCGCTAACTGAGACAAAAAATAAAGCAAAATATCAATTGTTTAGTATTGCCTTTTCAGGATGATGTGAATTGGCAAGGAGTCTTAATGCGCGTTTAGCTAGGTGAAGCGTTCAACATATGTTGATCTTGGTAGGAGTCTTCTGCATTCCTTAAATTATTCGATCATGCAACACTTATTTAATACAAAAAAGATACACTCAACCCTGTCGTAGTTGGCTTCACGCTAAGATGGAGGAGAATAAGAAGTAAATCTTGAAGTGAACATTCTTTTCCTTCTTTTATCAAGGATGTGTTCAGACTGTGCACACATCGACTATTTCACCCAAAATGGTTACTTTCTATCTTTTACCACCATAAGGTCTGTCAAACAAAAGACTTAAATAGACGAAAAGTAATCACCTAGTGTTTATTGCCTAGTATTTAAAATGCAAATTCTTAACATCTTACATTTGTTATATCATAACAAAGCATCTAACAAAGTTTTAAGTAACTCTAGCAAAAGCATCTAAACTTTAACTGGTGGAGCAAGACACTCAGTCTTTGGAGCAACCTCAGCTGCAGAATAGCCATTAGTTTCAGTGTGGTGTATGTCAAAACTCCAAAACTTTGCAGCTTTCACATCATCTTGAGTCATTTGCCTTGAGAACTCTTCATGATCATATTTCAAATTTGCTTTTCCTCCTAATTCATTTGGTAAATTATCCATGTCAAAATATGACTTCATCAACTCAACACTGTCCTTGTTCTTTGGATAAACAAATTTGACCTTCTGCATTGTTTTGGGATCCAGAAAATACTTGACTATCTGGAACAAGAAAGGGGAAAATCAGCATTAATATAAGGTAAGACAAAGGGAGTGCCTCGGAGCAATGGTAAAGTTGTCTCATTGTGACCAGTGGAATCAGTTGCCTACATGATGCAATCACACACTTCGACGTGCAGCGTGAATGCAGGATGCTTTGTGCACCAGGCTGCGTTCCCTGAAGTAACTATGGTTGGTTGATGCTTGAATAAAATACATAATAGAACCAGATAATAATAGCACATGGTTCGATATGAACGTGTAAACCAACAAGGCAATGACCGAAAAAAGAGATCAACTGTGTTTGGTATGGAGGAACACATTTTTGAAAAAAATATAAGAACACAAGTTCTTTAAAAATGAGAAAAATGACTTCTTTGGTGTCAATAAAGAAAACAAGTTTCATAAAAGGCGTTCCATGTTGATTGTATCCTCCCCACACCTTAACACACTAAGATAACTGATCACGAGTTTTGCTTGGTTTTTGTTAGATCAAGTAACAGGTAAGAGGTGAAAGAAAAAGATAAAGATTCAGATCAAACCTTCCAAAATGCTTCAAAAATCCGCGGAGGGTTGTACAGAAATGCTACAGCAAGTCTTTCAGGGTAGTGATTCTGCAAAATATTGACCGTCTCACGAGCAGATTTGATAGGAACATTGTTAGTTAAAGACCATCCTGTGAAGTCTATCAACCATGACATTTGCTCTTGGTCTTGTGGAAGATTAAGAATTGCATTTTCTATCAGATACACTAAATGCCTCATCTGGTTGTCTAGTGCTGTCGTGTTCTGCAGAATGTAAGCGAAAACTATGAAACCAATTCAAGAATTTTTCAGCAGTTATCGTTACACAGATTTTGAAGACTTTAGAGTAGGTATCTTATGTCACCTGCATTCCCGGTCTCAAGATAAGAACAGTCCTCCCATCACGGTCATGAAAATTTGCTCTGTAAGCCTTCCCGGTCTCACCTTCAATTGCAACTTCATGCTGTAAAAGTGCAAATTATATGTTCAGCAGATACATATCAGAAAACCGTCTAGTACCAACACGATGAATTATGAAAAAATGAATCGTTGGTAAATATAAATAAAGGCGACAATCACAAATATGTTATCTTTCATGTCTGCAGAATAACTACAAACAGTTTGTCATGCAGTACTTTTTTCCAATTCATAATTGTATGAATGAATACTCACTGTCCATGTCCATATCGCTCTATGTAAGCCCGTCTTATTCTAATTGTATACAAAAAAATAGTTTCTCTATCAACTTTCTTTTAGCTATCCGCCCAAATTTCATATCGTGCACTCATATACAAATCTATAGTTAGTTCATCTCTTGGGGTACTAACTAACAGCTGAGTCCTCTCCGAAACAACAGGAGATAGTTATCCATCATATCGCTCACCAACTTCACTTGCCTTTACGGGAAGCTCACTCCGGGCAGGTTGGGATCACTTACAATACATCGACTCTACGAAAGGAAGGTGTGGGTTGGGAGCATTTTCAATATGATTCTTTTCCTGTACTTTTTTCGATGAAATATACGAGTCTGTTAGCATATAAGTTTGTGACAAGCATAAACACTCCTAGCAAATATCGACCTAAAGTAAACATACTGGAATGATTTAGTAACATGTTACATTCAACAAGAAGATAACCACACCATACAAAACCGTCTCTTTTCTTACCCAGCGGATCTCTTCAGGCTTAAAAGTTAACCTCCATTTTAAGGTTTCTTCCAACATCTTCTTTGATTTCTCAACATTCCAGTTCCGCGCTTCCAAATATCTCCTTAAACATGCATCACTGCAGTACTGTAAATCACGTCCTGATAGTGGCGCGCCCAAGGAAGTCCTAAGTTCCTTAACCTGTAATAGTAGTAACATGAGCCTCTCACTTCATAGATATGATCTGATTAGAACAAGTTCAAAACACACGATTTAATCGTGAATACGTCCACAGTCCCTCAGAAGTATCAAGAGTTATGCATCTTTATAATGTCAACGATTATATTCAAGCATTTATAGACTCACAGAACCTAATATGACCTATTTGAGCTCTGAAAGAGCGAATTTACTGAAGCTACTTTCACGTGTATGATCATCTCATCTAAAAGCTTAAGTTGTATACTCGTATAAATCTTCAAACACACTCGGAAACAGAAAACTCCACACAACAATATAAACTTTTCAACGATTAATCACCTTATGTGGTTGATCCTCACCCTCCTGTTCACTATGGGGATGGCTCTTGCGACGAAACATGATAAATGCTACTGCAACTGAAGCAAAACCAGTATAACAAAAGTGAGGCCTTTCAACAATCGACTAATATAAGATCGAAGTTCCCATGTATCAACAAAGACATTTTCATATCTAAAACTCCAATACAAATGTTCAAAAAGGAACAGATTTATATAGAAACACAGAGGAATTAGAACTTACTTCTACTTGACAGTCGCGAGATTTCCTATCGATCTTCAAATACATTTTGAAAACAAAAATTCCATACAAAAGATGATTTCAATTACCATGACATAAGTAGGGTCAAAAGAATTGCATTTCATTTTTCAAGCGTATTCATCACGGAGTGAATCTATTTCATTCTGTTTGGCACAAAAAGGAAAACGAATCACATTACTGTATGATTCAAACCTATGATATCAACTTTTGACACTTCTCTCCTGTCTTACGAGTCTCAAATAAGGCGTGCAACGCTTGCATCTTTAGTAGATGATTGATTCACTACCTAAGCGAAGAAAAGACTAGATTAATCAAAGAGAGTACTACAAGTCCGCGTTTTTCTAGACAGAAAATCGCAGGAATTTGAAACTACTTTCGATTAACAAATTGTTGCAACAATAATGGCTAGCTTCCCTCTTTACAAACACAAGCGGATTAAGGATTTAAAATCTATAGATTCAATCTTTAACATTCTTAGCCCTAAGACCCTAATTTTCAAAACTATGAATTCAGATATACTACTTGTTGAAATTTTCACATAAATTTAAACGATCCATAGAAAGTACTGAACTCAGATGAACTCGATGCAACAACAAAGGTTTTTTTGTGTGTTTCACACCATGATCCACCTACAACAGAGTGGTAAATTTTTGAAAGAGACTACCTTTTTTGCTGATCAAAAAGATCCAAACTTTGTCACAACAAAACTAACAGGCTCCAGATTACAACAACAACATACCTATTAGGGTAAACCCGGGGTCTACGGAGGGTAGAATGCGTCAGATTTTATCCATATCTTTCTAGGGTAAAAAAGGTTATTTCTAATACACCCTCGACTCAAAAAGAAAGTTAGTGAAACAGGACGTCGAGGGAAAAAAAAAAGGCAACAAAATAAACAAGATACAAAGCAAATACACTAACAAACAGTAATCCGTCCAGATTATTATCATAGTTATTGTATATCCAAATCAAGATCAATAACATGTTATATACATAAATTACAATAATTAATTCGAGATTTTAAGTCAGTAAATACAGAATCAACTACAACAATCACAATATATATCTATCTATATATAAAAGAAGTTTTGAATAGAAGATAATTAGCATTAATTAATTCATGATCTTACCTTAGGTTAGAAATTTGAGATGCCCTAATCAAGAATTTGACATATAATATATAAGTGTATATACATATAATATGATATGATCAATGTCTGTTTGTGTGTGAAAAAGGACAATTAGATGTTACAATTATTTACATTAAAAAAACAAAGTCTTCCACTATGGCACATATGGTTATTTTACTCATTGGGATCCTGGGATAGTGGGGAATATAATATAGTGTAAAATCACAGTCTGCCACGTGGCATTTATATTTATATAAGATGAGAGTTTTTAGGGAAACTTCAGTTTTTGAAAATTTTGATCATTTTGATATATGATTCAAATAGGTTAAACTTTTAATTAATAAATGTATGATTTTTTTTTTTAAAAAAAATGTAAGAAATATGTTTCTTCTGTCCTCTTTTTTTTGTTATGTTGCGCTTTTCAAAAGTCAATCTGACTAATTTTTGCAGTTAAATTAGATTACATAGAATTCAATATTTTAAAGGAACAATTTAGATATTCAAAAACTATACGAAAGGTATTATAAATGGAAAAATTTCATATATGGCAAACTTATTAGATTAAATAACATTATATGGGTATAGTTTACCTAATTACTTTATATGGGTATAGTTTAGTTATTTTAGGTATCTTTAATTTTGTATATAATGTTTTTTTTTATTTATACAATTATATTTTAAAAAGTGGTTTGTAACTGAAGCGTTAAATATGCTAACAATAAATTTAGATAATGCCACAATTTTAGGGAAACGTCCCTTTTTTTAAGCTAAACGTTCAAATTCAAAAAAAAATATCTGTATATATATATGAACTTACCTTTTTTTGTATATTTATATATGTACATGAATATATTAGTTAAACGTGACATTATATACAAGTTTCTAAATGACTTTTTATATACTCCAATAATATATAAAGTTAATATATACTAACTTCAATAATTTGTATATAACTACTACAATATACAAATTATAATCGCATATGATATTTTTCCATCTATATAACTAAATCCAATTACTTTGTGTACATATGTATATAAAAAAAAATGAGCCTTTCATATACAATTCCCTACTACCAGCTATTAAAACAGACATGTACATATCAATTTTTGTATATGTATATAAACTTAATATATACTAACTTCAATAATTTGTATATAACTAATAGAATATACAAATTCTAATCATATATAAAAAAAATTCATCTGTATAACTAAGTCCAATTACTTTTTTGTATATATATACAAAAAACAAAAATAACATATGCAATATACTATATACAATTACTAAACATGCAATTATACTATATACAATACTTAAGTAATATTTTTTGTATATTGACATCTAATTAATCAAAAAATTGTATCTAACTTTGTGTTTTAATACAGTACCTCATGAATATTATGTTCTTCAGATCCGACAACTTCAGAAGCATTTTCCTCTGATTCAATGTTTACAGCTTTCCTCTTTCTTCTTCCTTGTACTATTTTAATGCCTCTAGCTTTGGCATTGTTAATAGCTTGTTGAACTGCCGTAGGGTCGTTTTTTTCATTTGATCTAAGCTCTTCCATTATTTGTTCTTGTATAACTTGATTTGATTTTCCCAATAACCCTACATCAAACCCAAAATCTTGAGTTAACCCTATTGAAAACGATGGTAAAATGTCAACAACATTGACATGCAAAGGAATACCTCTGGTAATCCTCAAAGATGAAGATGATTCATTCATTGTGTGACCAATTTTAGATCTATCAAGAACAAAAAATCGATTATTTCATCAAAATATATGGAAAAAATAAACAGAACACATACAAATTTTGAATAAGTAAAAAAAAAGAAGAGGTAAACAACTAAAATTAAGAGTACTTACGAAATTGACTTCAACTTCGGGAGGGAACTTCAACTTCGGGAGGGAGTAATCTAATTTTGGACAACAATTTGAATTTCAAACCGGATAGCTGGAGTATTAAATGTAGGAGAAAAATTTGGAATGCGACAACGAGAGAGAAAATTGTTTTGTGTATAATTATATACAAAATTAGAAAATAATATTTTTATACCAGTGGTTATATAATAGGTTGTGGAACCCATTAAATATAGCAAACAAAAATAAACTATAATTATATAAGGTAAATAAATTAAACTATATCCCTATAATATAATTAGCTATGAATGTTTGTCATCCCATGTAATTTTCCCATTATAAATTGCAGCATATCCATTTTCGCATTCACAAACCTTTTTTAAAGAACAACCCAAATTCCTTGTAAAGCCCATGGATCTGGTGCATGGAGCACCGAATTTTTTTTTTCTCAAAACACTTCATGAGAAACTCCGTAATGAGTTGGGGAACGTTCACGTATGCTCATACAATTTTTTGACACCCATTTCCTCGTTTATAAGCCCCTTTTGACGAATTGCCCAAATTTTCTAATTTTCCATGTGTATTAGCCCATGGATCTAGTGCCCAGACAATCCAAAAACAATTTCTCAAAAACTCTATGAGGACCTCCGTAGTGAGTTGGGGAACCTTCACGCATACTCGCACCATTTTTTAATGGCTCATTTTCGCATTTACAAACTCTTTTTTACGAAGGCTCAAATTTTCCAATTTTTCATGTGTATTGGCCCATTGATCAGGCACTAAAAGCACCCAAATTTTTTCCCAGAAAACCTTATTAGGACCTTTGTAATGAGTTGGGAACCAACACGTATTCTCACATAATTTTTTAACGCTTATTTTTCACATTTACAAGGCCTTTATTAAAATCGCCCAAATTCCTCGATTTTTCAAGTGTGTTAGCCGTGGGCGATCCAAAATTTCGATGTCTTTTTTGCCTAAATTTTTTGTGGACATCCGTTAAAACGTTAGTTATGGATCCAGTGAGTCCTAACGACCAAAATGACTCATTTTCAAGGTCAAACGTGTCCCGAAGCAATTATAGCCCATTTTGTCAATTTTTGTGTACTATATAATTTATGAATATTTTGTGATCCACAATTCTGACGTCTTTTTCACCCAAAAATTTCGTGGATGTTCGTTAAGACGATATTTATGTATGAAGTTGGTCCTAATGCTAAAGCAGACCATTTTAAAGGTCAAAAGAGCCTTGGAGTAAGTAAACCCTTTTTTTGTCAATTTTTGTGTACTATAGTCCATGATCTTTTTTGGTAATCTAGAATTTCGACGTCTACTTTGTCCAATATTTTTGTGGACGTCCTTTAAGACATTATCTATGGAATCAGTTGGCCCTGATGGCTAAACGAACTTGACGGACGTCCACAAAATTTTTTGGAATTTTTGACGTCTTAATCCGGATTACCCAAAAAATGGTTTGCTATAGCACACGAAAATCATCGAAATGAGGGTTATGCTCGCTTCGGGGCTCGTTTGACCTTCAAAATAAGTTGGATTGTCCGTGATGGCCAACAAGATGCATAGCCAAGGTATTGATGGACGTCCACAAAAATTATTAGAATTTTTACGTCTTAATCCGGATCACCCAAAAAATGGTTTGCTATAGCACACGAAAATCATCGAAATGAGGGGTATGCTCGCTTCGGGGCTCGTTTGACCTTCAAAATAGGTTGGACTAGCCGTGAGGGCCAATTGGCTGCATAGAAAAGGTCTTGACGGACGTCCACAAAAAAATTTGGCATTTTTTACGTCAGAATCCGGATAACCCAAAAAATGGTTTACTATAGCACACGAAAATCGTCGAAATGGGGGGTATGCACGCTTCGAGGCTCGTTTGACCTTGAAAATTGGTCAAACTGGCTGAGAGGGCCAACTAGATTCATAGCCAAGGTCTTGACGCACGTCCAAAAAAAGTTTGGCATTTTTTACGTCGGAATCCGGATCACCCTAAAAATGATTTGTTATAGCACACGAAAATCGTATAAATAGGGGGGTATGCGCGCTTCGGGGCTCGTTTGACCTTGAAAATGGGTCGAACTGGACGTGATGGCCAACTGGATGTATAGCCAAGGTCTTGACGGACGTCCACAAAAAAATTTGGCATTTTTGACGTCGAAATCCGGATCACCTAAAAAATGGTTTGCTATTGCAAACGAAAATCATCGAAATTGTGGTATTCTCGCTTCGGGGCTCGTTTGACCTTGAAAATGAGTTGGATTGGCCATGATGGACAACTGGATGCATAGCCAAGGTATTGATGGACGTCCACAAAAAATTTTGGAATTTTTGACGTCTTAATCTGGATCACCCAAAAAATGGTTTGCTATAGCACACGAAAATCGCCGAAATGAGGGGTATGCTCGCTTCGGGGCCCGTTTGACCTTAAAAATGGGTTGGACTGGCCGTGAGGTCAAACCGGCTGCATAGACAAGGTCTTGACGGACGTCCACAAAAAAAATTGGAATTTTTGACGTCGGAATCCGGATAACCCAAAAAATGGTTTGCTATAGCACACAAAAATCGTCGAAATCAGAGGTATGCTCGCTTCGGGGCTCGTTTTACCTTGAAAATGGGTCGGACTGGCCGTGATGGCCAACTGGCTGCTTAGCCAAGGTCTTGACGCACGTCCACAAAAAAATTTGTCATTTTTGACGTCGGAATCCGGATCACCTAAAAAATAGTTTGCTATTGCTTACGAAAATCGTCGAAATTTGGTATGCTCGCTCCGGGGCTCGTTTGACCTTGAAAATGAGTTGGATTGGCCGTGATGGCCAACTGGATGCATAGCCAAGGTCTTGACAGACGTCCACAAAAATTTTTGGTATTTTTGACGTCTTAATCCGGATCACCCCAAAAATGGTTTTCTATAGCACA